TTTGTACTTTCGTTCTAGATTTAATCCATATTCACCAAAACCACTGCTTAGTTTTAATGCGGAGCCATCTAACTATTCCTTGTTTATAATTCTTTATAAGTTTGTTGTTGACACATTTTTGCATTAAGCATCAGTGTTACGTCCCTGTGTTTTATTTCAGGTACATTTACTGTGATGAAATCGATCTGGCTGCCGACACCGTCCTGGCCACTCTTTATGCTGCCAAGAAATACATTGTCCCTCATCTCGCCCGCGCCTGTGTCAACTTCCTAGAGACAAGTCTGAGTGCAAAGAATGCCTGTGTGCTGCTTTCCCAGAGCTGCTTATTCGAGGAACCCGACCTGACCCAACGCTGTTGGGAAGTGATTGATGCCCAAGCCGAGCTAGCTTTGAAGTCTGAGGGGTTCTGTGACATTGATTTTCAGACACTTGAAAGCATCCTCCGAAGGGAGACTCTGAATGCCAAAGAAATCGTTGTTTTCGAGGCGGCCCTGAACTGGGCTGAGGTGGAGTGTCAGCGGCAGGAGCTGACGGCGACCATAGAGAACAAGCGCAAAGTCCTGGGCAAGGCCCTGTACTTGATCCGCATCCCCACCATGGCTCTAGACGACTTCGCTAACGGCGCTGCTCAGTCTGGGATCCTGACCCTCAACGAGACCAACGACATCTTCCTGTGGTACACGGCGGCCAAGAAGCCGGAGCTGCAGTTTGTCAGCAAGCCCCGGAAGGGCCTCGTCCCTCAGCGCTGCCACCGCTTCCAGTCCTGCGCTTACCGCAGCAACCAGTGGCGCTACCGGGGCCGCTGTGACAGCATCCAGTTTGCTGTGGATAAGAGAGTGTTTATAGCCGGCTTTGGGCTCTACGGCTCCAGCTGTGGGTCGGCAGAGTACAGTGCCAAGATTGAACTCAAGCGACAAGGAGTTATCCTGGGCCAGAACTTGAGTAAATACTTCTCAGATGGCTCTAGTAACACTTTCCCCGTTTGGTTTGAATACCCGGTGCAGATTGAGCCCGACACCTTTTACACAGCGAGCGTGATTCTGGATGGTAACGAACTCAGCTACTTTGGACAGGAAGGAATGACAGAAGTGCAGTGTGGGAAGGTGACTGTTCAGTTTCAGTGCTCTTCGGACAGTACAAACGGCACGGGGGTACAGGGAGGGCAAATTCCCGAACTCATCTTTTATGCTTGAATGAGAGACAAAGCATTTTGCTATGAAGAACCTGTCAGGTTCAGGCCTCCTGACACTTAGCTTTTTATCTGCAGATATGTGATCAGTACAGGGAATATGTAAATGCTGTGGGCAAGTTCCTGGCTTGCTGTACTTGTAGCATCGTTGGTGATAAAGTTTAAGTGTAATATTTTAAACTGGAAGCTCTTGGAAACAAGTGAGTTTTAAAGGCTTTTTGTAAGAGGGGTGCCTGTTTGCTGGTGACGCTGACCCTTTCTTTGATGCACCTGTGAATCACCAGAGGACATCCCCCTCTTGTATCTCACTAAACACTGTCTTCATTGATCCCTTTCCTCTTTCTCCATATCCCACTTTCTGCTTGTAATTCTTTGGGGAGGTAGGGGTAGAAAATGAAGAGCCTTGTTTTATGGCTCTCTCTGCTGTCTGCTCTGCAGACTTTGGAGATTCCAACAAGCCAAGCTGCTTCTGACCATGGGAGCTGAAAGAAGTCCCTCAGTTGTAAGCAGAAAAAGCACAGGTTTAAACCTTCATCCTGTGTGGTTCTCCTGCAGCCAACTGTTTGGGATGGCTACAGGGGAAGATGGAGAGAAGGAAGCATCTTTCAGGAAGCTACACAGCATGCTGACCATGTCCACAGTGCATGGACGTGTTTACAGTGAGGAAGGGATGTGGGCTTGGCAAGTAACCCTCGGGGTTCATTTACTAGGAATCCCACCTTGAAGCCAAGGAAGTACTTGCATGTGTTCAAATTGTATATGCAGCTCTTGAAACTCCACTCCCATGACCTAGTTTTTGCTACTTAAATGGCTTTTCTTTGCTAAATAAATGGGAATTAATATCAATCATCTGATGCAGGATAAGTTTTTGTTTGTTTTGGGTGGGTTTTTTTTTTCTTCTTCCTAAACATGGTAGAGGCAGATTATAGAGAAACAACAGAATGTATCAATCCTGACTTGGACTTTTTTCTGTAATATGAGATTTTTTTTCTTTTTATTACCAGTTGCAATTTAGGCAAAGACAGAAGATTCCCAACTGTGGTCGTATTACACTTAGTTTATATTATCAGATAGCAGTGAGGAGGAAGAAGTCTTCTCTAATGTGTTAATGTTGGATCTCTTGCAACTGTTTATGCCTACACATCAATCAGAGGATTATGTGGTACAGAACCTTTTCCTTGTCTGAATTTTTTTCCCCCCAAACTTCTTGTTGTATGTCTGTATCATTTCTGGAAAATATTAGGGATACTCCTTGTATCAGGGAAGGAATCCAGTATAAATAAGAACTACAGGTACTATTTAAACATGAGCAAATCCTTCGCCACTGCACTGGGACAGTTGCTCCTCAGAGACACACTACCTGTTGTAAAGCATCTCATTCTTCCTTCACCTCTGAAGTGGGTTCTGTTTGTTGTGTACGTTTTAACGAAATGAGAGGGACCAAACGATTCTTCAGACAGGCTGAAGATAAATGTTAAAGTATATCAATGCATTAATGTAGCATAACCCTAAATTCACTTGTCAGTTCTGTAATAAAAATGTTTTTCTCATGTGATTTCTTACCAGTTTAATGCTATTACTCTGAGTGTTGCTGGACGGTTGGAATCCTGGCCCCCGGCCATCCTAAAGTGCCAATACATCTTTGCAGTGTCCGAAAAACCATCTGAAGTAAGGAAAACTGGAGCATAGACATCAAACACTTTATGGCCAAAGCCCAGATCTTCTCTCTAGGTAATAAAAGGAGAGCCAGGTGAAAAAACTACCCTGCAGGATTTATGCCTTTCATCCATCTTAGCGTTTAATGTTTTATATGCTTACGTACATGTGTGTGTAAGCAGAGCTCTCTCTGAAATGTAAATACCCTCAAAATACAGAGAGAAATGTTTTGTTTTTTGTAACAGATGTACATAATCCAGGCTGTTAGTGAAACCTAAACAGAATGCTCCATGGAAAACTCCCAGAGAGAGATTTAAAAAAACCTCCAGTTATTTATATTTAGATCTGCAGCTGAAAATAGACAAGAGTATAAATGGTATGGAGTGGAGGAAGAGTTGCTGAAGAGATCGCAAAAAGGAATCGAAGATTGTGATGAGGTAACGGTCACCTACTTTTAGATAACATCTGAGCAGCAGTTCCATTTGTTTAGATCCATTTGAAAGCAGTGAAAGATGCTAATCAGCTGATTAAGTTTTCTTACAGCAAGCGGCTGATGCAGATGTAATTACTCGGAGTGATGATCAGATTGACAAGTTGCTTGTGGTAGCAAACTGCATTCTGAGTTGTTTGGGGAAAAAAAACAGGTGCCTCAGCTGGTGGGACAAGTCAGAGAGTACTCCATTGGTATAACTAGACTTGGGTCCTCACTTTTAATTTATTTTTTTGGTTTTACTTACCTGTAAACAAAGGTGAGGTATCTGCTACCTTCACTGGCTAGAACAGAAGTTCAGAGATCAGAATACCCTGTAGCTGTAATATGTAGAAAAATGAGCTGTTATTTAATTATTCTTATTTGCTTCTTTTATGAAATCCTTTTGACGAAGTAGGATGAAAGCAACCTCTGGCTTAATTCCTCTGAGTCCATTCCAGGTTTTAGGAGCTGGTGCATGTGAACATTTCCAGTATGAATGATCAAACAAAAGCACCCCAAAACACCTTTCGATGCTCACAGTGCAACTTGTTTCTGAGCACTGCCTGATGCTAACAAGTACTGGCATATAAGAAGGTGGCCAGCACCAGTCACCTTGGGACATCGGGGCACTTCAATAGGTGTCTAAATGTGGATTTGGTTGGTTTAGCAGTAGCATCCAAGCTTGAATACATTGACTGACATCTTGCAAGCATCAGCCACATCAACCTGGAATGTAAATGTAATGTCGATAGAGATCACCTCGTAGATTCTGTCTTAAACTGTACCTGGCCATCTTTGCTACTTGTATCTTTGATTTTCCTGGTGAGAGGAATCTGTGATAAGAGAGTATAATGTAATATACTTTCTGCATATCTGAAATAGTATTTAAGTAAACATTTTAATTTCTACATACTTATTGCACTGAACTGTTTTGGGGTTTGTTTCTTTTTTGTTGTGATAAACTCGGCTCACTTCAGGTCCCAGCAGCCGTTTGTGCTGAAGCAGTGTTTGATCTTAGCAGGCTTACAGCATTATTTATAAAGGACAGATATATATATAAATATATGAAGTACCTCATGTTGAATGTTATTGTACTGTATCTTTAATGTCACAGTGCAGATCTTGTTGGACTCATGAATGTGTATAATCACGTTAAACATACAAATAAAAATGATTCTTAAATGATTGTTTCCTGCAGTATCTTTGAAGCATGAGCTGTAAAAGCCCTTACTTAGTTATCTCTATTGTTGTACAGTTTTGTAGGGATATTTGTTGAGCTTATGTATTCAGAGATCTTTTGATCCCCAAAGAAGCAAAAGTCTAAGGGAAAAACAAGGAAGAACAATGAAAATGTTAATCAGTTACATTGTAAAAAGGTTGACGATTAAGCTAATGAGCTGGAGTGAATGAATTCATTTATGTGCTTTATGAAAGGCCTTGTCTAGTAGCATTAATATTTTAATGTTCTATTAATATTATTAAATATGTGGAGATGAAGGGGGAGGATCTTTTGTTTATTCTAAAAAGACAGTTGGCACAGGAAAGGCCATGCTTTTCAGTCTCTGATAGATCAGAAAGGACATGGTTAGTGCCAAGAGGCTGTTCTCTGCTGAAAAGTTAATTATATCGTATTATTCAGAATTCTGACTATTTTCTTACTTAACAATTTTCTTCCAGAAGATTTGAGACTTCATTTTAAATAGTTCTGTGGTCAGTGAAGCTGAAGCCCCACTTCCATGATGTCTATCTCCAAGACCTTTCAGATATTACTAAGCTAATATAAGTAATACTCCACAGTCTGATAGACATGGAAATTTAATTGAGGAAGTCTTCCCCAGTAAAAGTCAGTACCTTCAGAGTTCATCCAAAATTCTGATTAAAGCCTGTTTACAGGCATCAAACTTTTCACTTTTGGTAAGTTGTTAGAGTTCTTACTGCAATACTTGGTACCAAACTGCTACATTCCTGATCCAAGTTCTCTTATGTGTCCTGCACTTCTCATGTGGAACTGGCTTCAAGCGGGAACTGTCCTATACTAATGACACCACCTCTCAAATGTGTGGTAGATACCAATGTGATTTGGTGCAGGAAGGACCACATTGGCAGCAGAAGTCTAAGTTGGTATGTTAGAGGAGATGGGTGCTGTTGGCAGCCTCAGATTCTTTGATAAACAGGCAAGAAGCACGTGTGTGTTTGCACCAGAAAAAAAGGAATTGGAAGTGGAAGGAAAAAGTGATAGCATGTTTCTGGGCTGGGGAGGAATTAGCCTCCAAGAGCTGAATTCAGTCTTGCAGGTAATATCCTGCTTGGTGGAGAGGGGACTCCCTGTTCCCACTCAGTTGGAAACTCCTCAGGAGCTGACAGCCTCTGCCCCTCACGAGGGCAAGGTCCTGTCTAAAACAGGCTCCTTGTGAATGCTCAGCTCTTGGGTGTAGGAACTCAGGATTTCCTGGCCTCCAATAAGCAAGACTAGTTATCCCACAGTCCAGGACAAGCTTAAGGAAGCTGAGAGAGCTTTTTTGGACCTCCCACTCCCAGCCCTCAGTGGAAGCTGAGATCCTGGCACAGGGGTGAGGTGGGGACTTAAGCCCATCAAGAGTATTTGGCCACTGTGAAAAGCAGCAGCTTTAAAAGCCTATTCCTTGCAGGGAATCAGTGGTAGCAGGAATACCTGCTGTTTTCCTGAAGGCAATGAAAGGAGCTGCTTTCTCAGATGGCAGTCTGACCATGTTCAAAATAAAATTAAGAAAAGGCTTCTTGGCATGCTGCTGCATTTCTAGAAGTCTGAATTTATTTTCTCCCCAAGACTTCCTCATAAAGTGAGGCCCTGGCCCAATTGAAATCAGTAGGAGTTGCCCTAGTGACCTCAATAAACCCAGGATTTTCAGTTGTAGTGTTCATTTTGTGTGATTATTCCCAAAACATAACATAAAACTGCCCAGGAGAGGGAAATTAATTTTGAAATCCCACTGTAATCTGATTATCTAAAATACAGGTACAAACATTCTATTAAATTTTACAGAACTCTTGCTCATCAGATTTTGTGTGCCTGCCCCCAAGCCTTTGTACTACAATGCTTTATCTTCAGCCATGAATCTACAGACAGAACAGTAAATTTGTATGAGGCTTTATGTATATTTTTACAGCCTGTGTGTGAAGTTCATAGCACATATGATGCACAGCACAGATAAAGTATTTTTTAAGATTAGAAAGTAAGTGTAAATTGCCTGTAGTCTGTTCACCATGAAGGAGAAAACAAAACCCGCTATTTTGCTTGAAGGAGCTGGTATTTTGAAAGAGCTTCTTGAAGTCTGAAAGCTTGTTGATACCATCAGAAATGTATTTATATTAAGCCTTTAATTGTAGCATTTTAAAATCAACTTTCTAATGGTTTTCTATGAACAAAAGATAACACAGTTGGCCTTCAGGGATCCTCCACCCTGGTACAATGGTGTTTACATTTGAACAGATCCTTGCCAGGGCAACTTTCTAGGTCTCATTTTTAAAGCTTCACAGTGACATTAAGTGCTGCTTGGGGAGCATCAGTGTTTCAGAAATAGCTGTGGGCTGGTTTTAGCCTAACAACGAACAGGGGCTTGCATGGGGAGGTACCTGAGTGGGGTTTCCATTTCCCTGAGGGTGAAGCACCTCGTGTTGCTGACAGCAACCTCGTGCTGAGCATTGTGTCAAACAGCTCAGCAGCTGGGAGGAATTGGAAGGCACAAAGTGCAACGGGAACCTCTGTGTGAAGGCAGTGGTGGAGACTCCCAGGTCCAGGGCTGTTGTGAGCGAGGCGATTCCATGAGCCAAAGAATTGGGATCTTGTATCACAGTACTCTGGGTGATGGAGAGTTATAGCTGGGCTGCTGAATGGCATGTGATTGTGATTTCTCACAACTGTGAATCCCATTTTGCATTTTATTGTTATTCTGGGAGAGTTTCCAGCTTTCTTCTACCCTGAGCTGCCTATTCCTACTCTGTCCCAGAGGCTCCCATGTGATCGAAGCCCAATGATTCCCTGTGTGCTGAGACCGGGGGCATTGGGAACACCTGGTGGAAAAGGACTAGTTGAGTGAGAGTGGGACATCCCAGTGCTTTGGTGTGCTGCTTGGAAGCTATCCTGAATGTGCTGAACACTGGCCTAGCATGGCAGGAGAGGCAGGATAATTCCTTTGTGTGTACAGATGTATTTCAGTATTCCCTAGCCTCACTTTCTCCAGCCAATTGCTGGTTGTGCTCAAAAGGGAAAATGAGCACTAATTCACTTTTTTTGTAGGGTGTGAGAGTTATGATTCTGCAAAGGCTAATTCATGCTTCTGTCTTTACAGAGTCAACAGTCCCTGTGGGCTCAGGGGAGGTGTTGGGAGACAGGGCTCACATCTACTTTAAAAGCACACATGGAAACATCTGCTTTCTTTAACGCCTTGTTCTTAGGAAGTTGTGGTGCAATAAAATAAATTCATAGACAGCTGGAGCTTGGCTTGTCTGGCTTGTTTCTGCAGTGGGACTTTTTATGAATAAAAGAATGATGGAACCATATTTAGCTTGGAAATCCTGTAGAACTTCCAGTGCAGAGGGGTAGCACAGTATAAAGGCACTTCCAGATGTGAGGATATTGCCCCTTGGTTGCAGTCTTAGGCTAAGGTGTGACATGTTCTTGCTTTATTCTTACCCGCTAGGGCATGCTGGAGGTGGTACCTGCATCAGACACCTTCAGTGCTTAGGGAGAAATGTGCTGAGGGAGAGAAAGCACAGAGATCTGGAATAAAGAGGAAAAGCATATAATCAGAAATAACAGCTCTCATCAGGCACAGACAATAGACAGCAAACTGGCTTCAGGAAAGCTATTCAGGCATCATGGGAGCCAAATCAACAGACACAAGGTAAGAATAAAGTCACGACAACTATTTAAATGATTTTTAAAAGTTGATTGTGCTCGTGACTTTCCTAGACCCTGCAGAGGGAGAATTTGTTTTGCTGCCTTAGAATACAGTCCATACATGTTTCTGCCTTTGTCCTCCACGCTTCATATGGTAGTTTCTTCACAGTATATGATACATAAGATGTTTTTCCTGCTCAGTGCCTGGGCATGAGCAGGTTGGCTGACCCTGCTTAGGAAAACAATTTTCAAGTACAGCCTGTAATTGTCATATCGAGCGCTCTCCTTCACCCCTCTACACGTGGTCTTTGTTGGCTTATAATAAGATGGCAAAGAGCAGGAATCCCAAGACACAGCTGGGAGAGGAAGCTCTCCTGTTTCCAAGGATGGTAGGAGCAGGGTGTTGTGTTCCCTTTTCAAATGCTCCTAATGATTTGGTGTGAATCCGGCGTGGGCTCAACATGGTGCCTCTGTGGGGAACTAGCTGGGGCACACAGGATGGCCTTTGCAAGTGCTGTGATTTCTGTGTCACCTTTCTGCCAGCTGCAGGGGGGGATGGATGATCCCAGATCTGGCAGAACGCCTGCCGAGGTTTGGAACAGATCTGAACTGACAGAGGGAGTTCATGCCGGGTCAGCGTTTCACGGCATTTCTGAGCTGGTATTAGGAGCTTGGAAAGTCACTGAAGTGCAGCATGAGAAATTTAAAAGTTGGGGTCCCTACCAGCTCATGGCAGTCAGTTTTGTTCCTATTTTACAAGCAGAGCTCCCCAGCAGAGCAGTCACAGTGATCATGGGTATCACCATCTCCAGCATACTGGGAAAAGGCAGAAGAGCCTTAAAACTGAAAACTGGAGCTCTAAAAGCAGGTTGTGGAATGGTCACTAAAATCAGCTGAAAGCTACTGTGTTGTCCTGATTCGTTCCTGGCATTTTCCAGCAGCTCAGTCTGTGCTGGCAGGTTTGTTGTCACTGGTTGAAGGTGTATTTTTGTGTAATGAAATACAACTCCTGACGTTAGCAGGACTGAGAGCAAACACCTTCCATTCCCCATCTAGGGGAGCTGGCATTCAGCACTCCATGGCTGCCTTTGAAAGAAAAAGGAGAGTTTCTTTTCAGCACTGCCAAAAAAGTGATATTAATTGAACTAAAGCTTGGAATGAAATGTGAGTGTGACTTGATCTAGGAGCAGCCTTACAGAATGAAATGTAAAAATATGCAGCACAGGAAGGAACTCATGCATTGAGTTACAGTAGGACTGATGAATTAGTAAGGATGGTCTATCCATAATTTGAATGAGCTGGGACAGACAGGTAGGAGAGAGGAAGATGCACATAGAAAAAGCAATACCAGCAAGTCAGTCAGGAACCTTCAAAGGAAAAAAATTCAGCCAAGATAAGGGAAAAGAAATCTCTCCTTGGTTTCTGCCATTTGTCATGCATCTCTAGTGATTGTGTAGATGACGTGCATTTGCTGAGCTCCTGTTAGGACACCACAGTTAGGGAAATTAATTACCCCAGAAGGCCAGAATGAGATCTTTCAAAGGTCATTATCAGAACTGGTTTCTCATCAATACACTACTTGATTGGAGGAAAAGACTCAGAATTGCAGGCCTTTGATTGCTGAGAGGGAAGCTTTTAACTGCTTCCTGCTGTTCTGTCATTTTGTGCTAACCCCAAATGGCCCCATTAAATTGATGTCCTGTTTCCCATTCACTGCCCACAAATCACTCTTCTTCTATTAATATAGGAAACATTTGCACATGATGGGAATTGGAGTGGCTAAACAGTAAATCTTAGAGCCAGTAAAAGAACTCAAAAGCGTTTACCCAATGACCAAAGTATTGATTTCCCCCCACCACTTCATAATATTAAGTTGTGAACTTTATCAAAAAATACAGAACCTCACATCTGCCTTTAGAGCATCTTTGCACAAACACTGTTCCCAACCAGTGCAGTGGGAGTCAATCTGATTTCTGTGTGACAGCGAATTTCTTGCAGCTAATCAGGAGATAAAACAAAGGCCAGGAGTGATGCAGCTGCTCAAGCAGTGGGGTGTCATCGCCGACACCGTGTGACACCATGTGTGGCTGCTGTGGGTTAGGGCAGCAATGAAAACAGCGCAGCAGCTCTGCTTTCTCAGGCCAGCAATGCTATAAGAGAGCACCTGGAGCCTGGGAGCTCTTTGGGCTGAAGAGGAGCTGAGCCCCAGAAAGGTTTTTCTTCACTTTGATGGATGTCTGAGCTTACATAGTCTTACAGATTTGCACATACACTCTCCCATCTCGTGCCTCGGGTCCTTCCATTGACAGCGTTTTACTGAAGTCCACTTTTACTGTCAGGTTAAGCTAAAAGATGCTGACAGTGCACTGGGGTGACACCAGGTCCCTTCTACACCTGCTCTGCTGCAGAGTTCCCCCAGCAGCAGGGGGAAGTGTAGGTAACTGGATAGTGAATCCTAAAACAGGACTAGGTAGTGCAGGAATATCCTAATAATGGTTTCAAGACACTTTGACATAACTGGAGAGGATGGAGTGAGTGAGCAACTTGTAATTTATGGTGCTTGTTGTGAGCAAACAAGAAAAAAACTAACCCTTTTTCTGCTGGCCTTCAGGCAATATTGTTCCCTTCTCTCCTTCATATCTCAGTTTTCCCCACTACAAAAAATGGGAGGATGAAATCGAGCACCTCTGCAGAGGGCTTTGATGTCTGCTCATCAAACCTGCTCCACAGGCAGCAGGAATCAGGACAGGTGCAACAAAGCCCAGCTCTCCTCAGGCAGCTGAGCTCACTGGTGGGGTCTGTCACCAAAATATTTCCAATATCCTTAAATGTCACTAAACTAAGGAAAGTGGCATTGTTGAAAATCATGATGAAAGGGGCCTCAGATGTAAATCCTTTCTAAAATCTTTGTAATCCTCAACTGCTTTGGTTCCAACAGATCTTCCCATAAAATGAACTGCCAGCCAAAAGGTAAATATAAATGCAAAATATTCCCAAAGCAAACATGTTACTGGCTTTTAAAACAAGTCCATTTAAATAATGTGGAAATATATTAAACAAGCAGAATCTATTCCGATTTATATTTAAAGATGAATTAATGCAAATATCACAGGTTTATCCTGCATTATTCCCTTGAGAGGAGTCACTGGGGAAGCAATTTGTTTCTTGTTAGCTAAGGCAGGGAGCTTTGAAGTTACTGAGTTGTCTGTCTCTGCGAGTAGCCCATTTAATGTTGAGGAAAAGTGTCAGATCTAAGTTGGAGTGAGTTGTGTGTCTGTGCATTGTTTAAATGTCTGGCAGGAAGAGGTCTTCAGCGTGCCACCAACCAGCAGTATAGGGACAGTGGAAGTGGCACGAAGAATGTCTGGGAGAAATCTTTTAAGGGCTGTTAACAATGGACATGGAGCCCTGAACAGTGAGTGTCAGGAGAAAGGCTTCAATTGTGCCCTTTTTTTGTCTTTTAAATTGACTCCTACTAGGTTTATAAGGGCTCTCATCAGTTGCTTTTTGGTCATATCAATTGAGGATGATTTGTCTGAGAGCTGGTTGCTGGGAAAGCCACCAAAAGAGGCTTTTTTTCCCCAGACAGTCTCATAGTTTTAGGGATGTTCACACACCCCTGCTCCCTTGACTGTGCTCATTAATCTGTTTCTGGAGCTGTGCTGTGACTGGACTAGGTAAATCACCTAGAATTAATTTCTTTTGATTTGAGCTTGGAATATTGTGATTGTTGGCACAACTGTGTGGGCAATGAGTTGTGACTGGTTAGGTGGTGGAAGCACAAACCTCTGACAGGCTGTTTCCCTGCACAGAAAAAAATTTAAAAGCTGTTGTCTGAAACTCCAGAGCTGTTGAGTTCATAGCAAACTCTACCTTCATCCCAGAACTGTTTTTCAGAAATCAGTTTTTCTACTCTTTAATTACAAATGAGACCCTCAGCTATCCAATAGCACAGCTCCACTGAGCTGGTACACATGGGCTCTACAGTGTCAGCTTTTAGCCTGAAGGTACCAGCCTGGGGTTATCAGCTGCAAAGAAAACCTCTGCAATGTTAAGAGCCTATAAAGCAATTCAGGGAGATCAGTATGCATCTGAAGATAGCTCAAAACAATAGCTAGAGGGGGAATATAAACTGTTTACTGCAATTGGATTTGCACTGAAACCTACCGATGCAAAATTCATAGCCTACATGAATTAATTTGCTCCTGATCACTTCTTACAAAAACTCTGGCTTCTCCCCCCTTCCCTTAATGACTTGTACTCCACAGCTGTGGATTTGCAAAGTGAACTGCAGTAGCAGAGTAGACATAAACATTTGGAAATGGCACTAAAATCTGTGAAATGAATTGCCTTTGAAATTTACAGTTGTCGCCAGCTTATATCGAATCAAACTTGTCATGTTTTTATGGACTACACTAAATCTTTGAGCATCTTTCATCTCCCTATCACCTGTGTGTGAGGGAACTATTAGCCCTATTTTACAGATGGAGAAATGAGGCACAGGACACCTGAGAGAGGCCTGGGAATGACTCTGCTCTGTAGCACAGTCTTGCTCACAGGAAGGCATCCCCTCACCTTTTCCTGTTGGATCAGCTGCAAGATCTCAAATTGGTTTTCCTGATGTGCCACAAAATCATAGAACCACAGAATGGTTTGGGTTGGAAAGGACCTTTAAGATCACCCAGTTCCAACCCCCTGCCATGGACAGGGACACCTTCCACTAAACCAGGTTGCTCAGAGCTCAATTCAACCTGGCCTTGAACACTCCCAAAGATGGGGCAGCCACAGCTTCTCTGGGCAAACTGTTCCAGTGCCTCAGCACCCTCACAGTAAAGAATTTCTTCCTAATATCTAATCTAAACCTTCCCTCTGTCAGTTTGAAGCCATTCCCCCTTGTCTTGTCACTACAGGCCCTTGCAAATAGTCCCTCTCCATCTTTCTTTTAGGTTCCCTTCAGGTATTGGAAGGCTGCAATTAGGTCACCTCAAAACTTTCTCTTTTCCAGACTGAACCACTCCAATTCTCTCAGTCTTTCCTCATAGGAGAGGTGCTCCATCCATCTAATTAACTTGTTCCAACAGGTCCATGTCTTTCCTGTGCTGGGAATCCCAGAGGTGGAGGCAGCACTGCAGGTGGGGTCTCACCAGAGCAGAGCAGAGGGACAGAATCGCTTCCCTCACCTGCTGCTCACAGAATTTAAATCAAGTTCCCACTGGGGACCAGGCAGTGAGTGAGGTGTGCAACATCCTGGTTTGCAACCACACCTCTGCAGGAGAGGAGAGAGTGGAGTGCTGCTGTTTCAGATGTCCCTGTTCCTCTCAAGGGTGAGCAGAGGGCTGTAGCTAAGTTAATGGTCTCTGCAAATGCTTTATAAAGTCATTTTATGTAATGACCTGGAATTTATATCTTTGCTTATGAAACAGGAGCTGGTAGCTGTTTTAATAATTAGCATGTAGTGTAAATACTATACTGAGCTGAATTCTTTCCTCAGATAGTCTGTGCCTGCTGGTGAAGTCAAGGAGAACTGGGCTGGTATCCAAGGACAGAAGCTGGTTGCTTGTCTAGTTAGGATACATTGAAAGCATTAGTAATGAGATGTGAGAAGAATAAATAAGCCTATTTACCATGTGGAAGAGAGCTGCCTTGCAGAGGTTAGCTGCAAAATGACTAGTTAAGAGCTGCAGCCCCTCCCAAAATTCCAGGCTCTCCTGCCTTCCCGTCCCCCATCAAGCCAGGAGTGAGCCCTAGGAAATGATTTAAAGGGACAACCTTGCAGCAAGGAGGTCTAGTCCAATGTATTCTGCTGGAAAGGTCCCTTTTATCTGAGGAGCTGAAGATGTGAATGATGACATTTGTGCAGGGAATTTAAGTGATTCCATGCTTGTGTACAGGATGGGAGCAAAAGAGGCCCTGGCTCTTTTTAGGCTAATTGGGATCAACCAATGCAGAAGAGGATCACCTACAAGCAGGCTTAGAGTTGAGAAGGATACAAAATATCATACAGAACCTTATGCTCCAGAAATCAGATGTGAAGGAAGTTATGGGTCTGGTTCAGGACTGAGAAAGGTTTACAGAGCCTTGGACCATGGGATCTAATACAAATTGTAACACAAGTGAAGGTTAATTCAGGTTTAGAAATCTGTGCAGCATGAATTTTGTAGCTGCAGTTTACCTTTTAATGGTTGAAGAGTTGTTATATAAATAGTATAAATCAGGCACTGTGCAGATGGAGTGGGAAGAGAGAGCTCATTTCTCTTGACTAAAAGAGATCCCTTTAAAAGAGGTCCCTTAAGAGATGGGAATACAGTAGCTGTGAAGGGGAGAAAAGAGCGTGATCCACAGCTTAGTGGAAGGCCTTGTCAGTCAAAGCAGCATCTTCTCTAAGTAAGGATTTCACAGCAGAATTAAAAATACATCAGGTCTAAGATCTCAATAAGTGGTTTCTAAAAAAGATATGTGGGAAAAAGAGCACAACAGAGCAGGCAGATCCTGCTGGCCCAAGTGGCTGCAAGCCAGGAGCAGGGGGAGTGTGGGTCTGCACTTCTGCTGGAGAATTACAAATAAAGGAACAATTGGGAAAGGCAAGGTGTAATTCATGAAACAGCCAGAATTTGTTTCATGTTTCTCAGGATTTAAAGCTAATCACAAGCTAAGTTTACCCTCCTGATTCCTCCTTCCACTCCACACCTCCAGGATCTTCTAATTTATAGCCCTCCAGATTCTTGTGCTTTTCCTGAGCGTGATGTACACGGATGGAGCAGTCTAATATCTCAGTGGCTGCAGAAGCCTGACAGTGTTTTCACATTGCTTCTCCCTCCAATAAATCAAAGCGTTCAGAACTGAAGACTGCATACCCAATAAAAGTCCTGTGGCAGGGGGAGACGGCTGTTCCTTCATTTTTCCAGCTGTGAATCTCCTGGATGGCATTCCTGCTGACTGGAGTGCCTTGCAGCAGTTATATAATTGCAAGTCAAAATTTCTCTGGTTCGCCAAATTGCTGAACCAGAAGGGTTTGCTTACTAAAGGACTGGAGGGAAGAAACTGGAAGGGAGACATAAAGGCAAGAGGCTGAATAAACTGTTGGGCTGTGATCAGCATTTTGATCGTTTTAGGAATTTGTCAAAGGGGAGGGGGGGAAAGTTGTGTGGTGAGAGATGGGTGAATAATTAATCATGTATAATTTAGTCAATGAATTTTGCTGATTGGGGATTTTCTACAAATGGATTCCTCCGTGTGTCAAATGTTATTCAACAGCTCTTTTCAGTGAATAATTTTTGAGTTGTAGCTGTATCCTGAGGAGTTCATTGAGGTATTTGATAATTAAATACTGAGGAATAAGTGAGAGTACAAGCACAGCAAAATATAATCCCATAAAATGCTGTGTGTATAGTACCATTGACTTCTTAAGGTGTAAGGCAGGAAAAGTTTGCTTGATTTGATCTTTCATCACTGTCTAGTCTTTGAAGAGGTCACTTTAAATCTTGAAAGCCATGAAATTTGAGGTACTTGGAGTGAATTACTCAGTTTTGGGGATCTGAGTGCCTTCTCCACATGACAATGTGTATGAAACACTCATCTGCAAATCTTGTACAGACAACTAAGCCTATTTCTTTCACTTATTACTAGTTATTCTTACTTTCCTCTCATCCCTTCATTAACCTGCTGTGCTCTTCCTAGATTTCATCAGAGATTACTCAAATAGGGCAGTTTTCTGTAAAGTATTTGAAACAGAGCCCAAGCATCATTCAAAAATTCAAAGATCTTAATAATGATCCATAGTAATAATTTCCAAAGCTCTGAGGAAGATGCTGATATTCCTTAACCTCCACTCCTTGTGTAACCTTGGGCAGATCAATTATTTGGAGAAGTTTTATTATCACCATCTTACAGATAAAGCCCATTTGGATGATAAAAATCACTTGCAGTCATGAAGCAAAGATCTCAGAGACCTGCATCCCCAAAACTGCAATGGTAGGTAGGGAAACATGTGCTCCAGGGGTTTGCAGAACCCAGTGTCACAGCAAAATACAGAACACAGCAAACTGCAGATGCTGTTGATGAAATAAAACTGCAGATCAAAAAAAAAAAAAAAAAGATCACACATTGTTTAGGTGAAAGACTTTACTGGATAAGACACGGATTTTTAAGCATTAATTCTTGTAGTAGCATTTCACCTATTTAATTTAAACTGGTGTCCACGAGAAAACTCTGGACAACCCAATGGAACTCAAGCCAGGGCAAAAAATTGTCCTGAATTCATTAGCAGTGAGACAGATGGTACATCCATTCAAGAAGGCAGTAGCTTAAAATAAAATAGGACACTATATTCTAATTCTATATTGCCACGTAGCTTGATCTTGCAGAGTCACTCCAAGTAGCACAACTGGCCCTTCAGAGAAACGTGTTTGCAGCTCACAAGCAGATTGCAAATGTGGTGGTTTTCTGTTTGTTCCAGTGCTTTCTCTTAGGAGGATGCTGATGACAGTTTGATTACTTGGAATCTGGGGTGAAAATGCCCAACCAAAGAGATCAGTTGACACAGAGGAAAACCAGCAGCACATTAAAATAAGAAAACCAGGAGGTTTTGTGAAGGACACAATTGCGTGTTTGCGTGTTGCTGAAACGCAGAGGTACTTTTAATAACTCTTTAAACCTCATCTTTTTCTAATAATCTGCATAATCCTCACCTAGGATTGCCAGGGAGTAATTTGTGACTGCTGTCTGTATGACAGGGGGAAAAGCAAAGCTGCTTGACAGAACATCAAAGGTTTGTGCTACTGGAGTTTTATGCAGCCACTGCTAAATCTTTCATGCTTGAAACAATGATGAAAAATGATTGTCAGCTATGAAACCAAAATTATATCAATCTGCTTCAGGGCTGTGGGGTGTTTTTTTCTTCATTTGAAAACATGACCCAGCCTAGCACAGTTCACTTACCAACCTCAAGTGTTCTGTCAGGATTGAAAAAGAATAGAACTGAGTCAGGAAGGGTGAATGTATTTCATGCTTCACAAATATATGTGGGGGGGGTGGGAAGGAGAGAATGCCAAAAATAAAATCAAGCAGGTCAGTGCCCAAATACCTCATCCTGATTGTCTTTATATAACACATGTAACAGACAGTGCAGTAGCTCTCTGAATTTCCAAGGGGAATATTCAATGCAGAGTAGCTGAAATGGAAGCTAAATGTGGCTGGAGGCTTTAGTTCCCCAGCAATGCTGCTGCAGGTAGTTTTTCTGGCTGTAAAACAAAACGATCCTTAAAGCTGAATGCTGAGAAGCAGAAGTTTGGGGCTGATTTGGCTTGTTATCTCTATCAAAATCTGGTCTTAATGAATATCTCATTAGCTACTCCCACACCTGGTTTGTCCTCTGTGGAGGCCTTCAGGATGCTAAAAAAAAAGGGACCAAGTGGGGAGCAAGAACAAATGTTTAAATTATCATCATGAACTCTGTTTGATATGCACAGGGAGAGAGGCTGCATGGAGCTGCTGCTGCAAACAGAGCCCAGGGTACATGAACTCCATCTATGCCATTGCATGCCCATGGCATGATGGGCTGCACTACTGGGATTGCTGGAGGAGTCTTGTGGAAGAGAAGTCCTCAAACCTTGAAGGGGAGAAGGCAGTTTGATGCCAGCCTGTTAGGATTGAAGCACATTGTCCTGCTGTTGCTGTGCAGAAAAGTTGAATCACTCAGAACCTTGCTGCTCTGTGAGGCTGCTCGTGCAGTTCATTTTGGGGGCTGGCAATAAAAAAAATAATCCTTTCAATCCTCATGGCAAGGGGACTTTATCTGGACAACATCCATTCTGCATTGCAGGTAATTTTTTAGGGTTATTTTTGGAGGGAAACAGGAGTGACACAGCTTGGCTACTACTCTTCTCAGAGATGAGGGAGAGGTCCCATCGGTGTAGTGCCCTCAGTGGTCCCCCTGCAAGGGTTCTTTCCCTCCTCAGGCTGAACAATCATCAGCCAGAAGCTGATGGGAGTCAGATTCTCCCCTCCAAAGCTCTGTTGTCTTCTCCATGACAAGTATTTGCTGATTTTCTCAGCTGTTTGCTTAGCAAAGTTGCGTTCTACTATCTTGATTATAATTTGAAGCTGATTATTGTACGTGCACACAGTCAGCCTCGAACATATGGGAACCTTTCCGAGATTGTGCTAGTTCTGAAGAGATGCTACTCAGTGATTAGTCACCAAGACTGTGGTATAAATTGATACTTCTCTGTGGTATAAATTGATACTTCTCTCTGCCTCTGCTCCCCTTCCCATTGCTGCTGCTTATTGTCTGTACCACCTCTGACAGAGGAGTTGGAGGTCAGACAAAGAAATAAATGAAACACAGTCTAGAAAGAAAAGGGTTATAAAGATAAATGATACCATTCAAATGTGATGCACTAGCAGGTGTGCTGCATAGTAAGAAGGGCTGCATGTTGAGCTGTGTCACCTCACTTGTTTGCAATGCTGCTGCTTCTTTTTCTTCCAATGTTTTGCTGTAGAGAAGACGTTAAGCCATTTTATCCCAAAAATCCAAATGTTTCATTTTGGCTAAAGCTTTTTCTTCTCTTTGGCGAGAGAGGACAGCCCCGTGCCAGAACCTTGCAGATTTCCTTGAGAAAAAGAATCAAAAGAAAAATTTCAAGCAGTTAGATAGGTGGATATTGTCCTCTCAGTGTTAACTTACCTGCTCACCCCCCCAAAAAACCCCAAAAAATATTGTCCACGTTGTCAGATAATCACATGCCTCAGGAGGTTCCCTCGGTAAGATCCGGGCCTATGAAGCCCCATGTCTTTACTGCTCCTTCAGGAACTCTGCACCTTGGATGTTAGGCAGGAAAAATCAGCTTGTTCTTGCAGCTGAGCATCCTGCCAAGGCAGTCCCCATGTGGCAGGGATGTCCTGTATGGCAGGGTGAGAAGTAAAGGGGTAGAGCAGCATGACAGGACCAGAAGCCAGCAGCTGGTGTTGTTGTACTTGTGCATCTGCATTATAAGAGTTTATATGATTAAATTGTTCCACAAGGTAGCTCTAATGAAGTTATAAAAAGTCTCATCAACGTTCCAGCTGGTAGGTAGCAGAATGTGAGATGCAACTGATGGTCAAATGTACACTCTAATCAGCCATGAACAATTTTATTTAATTAACTTTGGTTTACTTGAGAGAGACTTAAAAGTTTTGATCAAAATACCCTCTAATTTTGAATCTTCTTTCAGCCCAATTCTTAAAATATGAATACTCAAATGCATTTGACCTTTCAAGCCAGAACATGGCTGATCCTCATGGTTTAAACCTCTAATTATACAAATGAACTCATAAAATTGTCTCTTCTTTTATACTCCTTTATCTCAATAGCTTTCCTTAGAAAACACCAGAAATTTAACTAAGGGGGGGGGCCTAGTTAGAAGCTTCTGATTTAAGTCTCAGGGGATTTTTTCTTCTATTGATGATGTGACTGAATTTTTTTTTTTTTTCATCTTCCTTAAAAAAGGCTTTTATTTTAGGGATGTCCTACTTCTATATCACCAAAGGTTGGTGCTTTGGAACAGCATAGCCTGCTGAATTTACTCTTAGTGAGAAATAGGTGTTCTCTACCAGCACCATCCTGTGCATGTTTTATGTGTGCCTAAAATGAGGTGCTGTGTTTCAATGAATAAGAGGAGTGTGTCAGTAAAAACTCCCATTGATTTATTCTTCACCAAAATTTTTTTCCTTGATAATGCTTTCTATTTTTTAAATAAGCTACATTTAAAAATGCTCAAGTTTGCATAGAAAGTAAAAGCTTTTTTTTAGGGTGGTTTTTTTTCCTTTTTTTTTTCCAGTATTCTCATGCAAAAAGCACTACATTTTCTGTGTTAAAAATACAAAAGCAAAATAACATTATAAAGTATGTCCATGATGCAGCACCTGGTAACACTACCACTATTCACAGTCATCAGGATGGTCAGATACTTTTCCACATTTAAAAGTGTATTTTCTCTGTTCCTTTCACAGGAATAAACTTCCAGATCTCAGGTCTTCTCATACCTCTGGACAGAACAACATGCCTGAAGTGATTGTGAAGAACACTTCATACAAAGGAAAAAAATGAGGTAATTTGTCCTAATCAGGTCTTGTCCTGAATGCATTGTTAAATCCTTACATGAAACAAGTTTTCTTTCCCCTCCATTACACTTCTTTTTATCATTAACTCTTGTAATTAAATGTCATTGCTTCTATAAAATCAAGTCCTTCAAAACTAGCTTGTGTCTTTGGCCACAATTACATTGCAGCAATGAGCTCCACTTGGAGTTTCTCCCTTCAGGTTTTTCCAAAGATACCTTTCTTTTAAAAAGAAAAACTTGTCCTTTAAAAAGAAAAGTTAGTCTTTTAAAATAGGGGTTTTTTTCCTTAAGAAAATTGAATTGAAAAAATCCACTTTCTCTCCTCTCTTTTCAAATAAACTCACGTTCAGGAAAAGACTTAGTTTGGAAGAAGTCATACAGAAAGATAAAAGGTTTGAAAAGCTATTGGAGTTTTTATTAGAAACTGATTGTTATGCTTGGAGAACCAAAAAAAATAAATTATCAAAGGTAATTTTCCTTCCTTCTTCTGATGAGACCTCATCATCTAATGCAAAACTGAGGCAGGTAAACAAATTTTGCCCCATCGCAGTTGCATCAAATTCAAAGTTAATGTTCTGCAATTATTACAATAGTAAGGAAAACTATCTTAAAGCAAGGAAATTGGGCAACAAAGGACACGGAAAGACTGGAAGCTCCATATCCAACAGACCTATGCATTTTCTATTGTAGCATCTTCTCTTTTGGCAGGGCATATTCCACCCACGTCAGAAGATAGTTCAAGAAATATTACAGGGCAATTTATAGAAAATTATACCAGCACAAAGTTCCTGGTCCTTATTGTGCAAATCTTGCTTTCTGCTGTTCCACCTGTGCTGTGAAATACAAATCCATGCACACACACAAACCCCTCCAGGTGTTTTGGTTTGCAAGTACACTACAGTATTTTTCATGCTTTTTTGGAAGCCAGCTAAACAGCTGACCTGTTTTGCTACTTTGTGGCATAAAATCCTCAGGTTGAAAAGGAGCTTCTCCTTCAGTCATTTCTAAATCATTCACCTTTCATTTTCCTGAGTGCCTTCTAGTCAATGTAGTAGAGAATGACTAGAAATGCTGAAGTGACCTTCATGAAATTTTCATATTTGCTTCTATTTCCATTTTAAGAATCCTGTTCTTACTTACCAGTTTTTCACCTTAAATATTTCTGTCTTGAATACTTCAGTAACTGATTGGAACTTTACTGGGAGTTAAGAAGGGAAGAAAACAAAACTAATTTAATCAGAACAGAGGGAAGCAAGTTCGTTTTCTCAACCCAGAGAACTGCCTTCAAGCTCACCCCTGGTGGAAGGTCCGTGGGTTTCAGCACTGCAGGTGAATGACTCTGGCCCAGAATGATTTCATCTCTCTGAAAAGGTAGTTAAAGTGTTTGACAATTTTGTCTAAACTGCCAAGTTTTCCTAGAAATAGTGCTCCAGGTTTTCATAAGCCTGGAGACATTTTTGTTATTTCAGCCTCATTTGGCTTATTACATCCTGTCACCCATGTCCAGATAAACCGCCTCTGT